AAGCCCCTTTTGGTTAGTTTTATTTGTTCTATTTATTTATTTATTTTTCTTTTCTTTTCTTCTTTATTATTGGTTTATTGTGATCTTGTTTGTCACTGGTTATGCTCAACCTAAGGCTGTTCACGTGTTGTTAGATTATGTGATGTGTTCATGTACCTTGTTTGTTGTAAATGGAAGCATAATAATAAAAAAAAAATCTCTCTGTGTAGTTTCCTGGACGTCCAATCAGTGGCGCAAAAACGGAGTATGCAGTATATAGGGGGGCGCCATTTTGCCGAAATCATTATGTGAAAATCTTATGTAATAAAACGTTATAAATAATCAAAAGCTTAGTTGTTAAAAATAATGTAATGAAACATTTTTATTGAACGGTTTTTAGCATTTTTAATGAGTTCAAAAATGTATTTATTATAAACTTATTAAGACGCGGAACCGCCGTACGACCACAGCAAACGGGAGACTTTTCAGACGCACTTCAACTTGCCCTCAGCACCAGGCGCGTGTCAAAAGGTACAGGTGCCAAATGAGCTTCAATAGAACAACAGTGAACTGCGGTCTGATGAGATGTTGTTATGTCAGTAAAATAAACTCCCCCCTGTCCTGTTTTACCGTGCTCACGGCGCACGCTCTTCAACTGTACGCGAATATGGGGCGCACGCTCTATCATCATAAATAACCCGCACAAGAAACTACATCGTCAGTTAAGTCATGAAATTACCAAAATTGCGATTAAAGCTGCAAAACTGTGCATGCATGTATACACGCATCACATTTAAACGTCTCTCAAATGCATGTACTGAAATATTCTGCAATTCGAGATCACAATAGGGCGCAAGATGATAGCCTATGTATTTTTTTTGTAGCCTAATTAAAAATGCACAAGTAAGCTAAATGTGAGCACAGAGCAGTTGTACTTTGTAATTTGTGAAGTACGAAAATGAAATTATATTTAAATGCATAAAATAACCTAATTTTACATTCTGGCATTTATGTGCTTCCGCCCTTTTTCACATTATTGCAGATGGAGAACTTTTTTTATTTAGGTTAATAGGAGCTCGATTTAGGTTTGACAAAACTGTTGCAATGAATTCATTTAGACAACTAACAGTGTTAAACATTGACTGTTTGCTTTTTCAGAGTTCATTGATTATATAAAAATTAGTGAATGTTGGCTAAACTTTGAACTACTAGGCCTATCTGCATGTCTCATCCATGAGTAGGCCTGTGCAATGATGGAGAACAAGCTTTTGGGGTGCTGAGACCCAGAACCAAGCTGACTGAGCAGAGTGAGCCCTTTTATTAAAATACCTGGTAATACAAAAATAATAGAAAAATTGTCATATTCACTCAATTACCTGATCTAATTCACAACTTCACAAATTCTCAATTACAATTACGTACAAATTAACTGTATTCAGTTGTGATGTAGGCACTAAAACAGTCCAGTATAGTCAAATAAGCTAAATTTCTATATTGAAATAACGAAGATTTCTTTGCCACCACAGACTGGTTGCTGGCTCCTTCCTGGCCACCCCTATGAAAACAATCCTGGCCACTGCCGAAGAGGGCAAATATCAGGTAATTTATGAATATCTCAATTGCTCAAAAAAACAAAAAACAAACAAACAAAAAAAACACATGTTTGTGAATGTGCATTTGATTTACATTTGAGAGAAACTGAGAAGATGGTAAGCAATACAAACTAGCCACCTTTCACCGAAAATTGCCGTTTTGAATTCAAAATAGGCCATCTGTGTGATTCAAGCAGATCCGATGAGTTGAAAACTCTTGCTACTCCATACTTCAATACAAAACAATGCTGAATTTTGACAAAAAGGAGATTTTTAAATGCTATATTTTTTATGTCTAAATATAAATCCATTAGCAAAACATGTGAAAATAACTATATTACAAAGTGGAAATGGTAAATGAGACAATAAATGATCCTCTGCTGTCATCTAATGATCATAGTGGGAATCATGACATTCATTTTAATAGATGGCCAATTTTCCATGAATTATCTCTAGTAAAAATGAAAAAATCCAGACATTCTTTAAAGTACATTTTACTTAGTGTTCTCATTTTTTATAAAAATGTGCAAAAATATGAATAACTTTTGAGGCAAATGAATTATATATATATATATATATATATATAATTCATTTGCCTCAAAAGTTATTCATATTTTTGCACATTTTTATAAAAAATGAGAACACTAAGTAAAATGTACTTTAAAGAATGTCTGGATTTTTTCATTTTTACTAGAGGCGGAAATTAGTGTCAGAGGCTACTAGAATACAGGGGGCGCCGACACTGATCTTGCATACCCCTCTGCAAATGTGCAGTTGCGCCCCTGCGTCCAATCTGCATATCCATAAAAGTTACTGCATAACACATGACAGAACATTGAACTTAAAATTGTTTTTATTAATCCAAACAAAACTGCAATTTAAGGTTATTAATGTGAACGCTGCGTTTGCGTATGTTTGCAACATTGAAGTAGGCTACTTACTAACTTACTAACATTAGCGAAAAGGATAAAGTCAGATTTATTATTGCCCTCATTAACTTAGTAAAATTCCGATGGTGAAAAATTTCTCTTGTGAGAAAATAAATCACCATCGTTTGACTTCTTTTGAGGTCATTATGCTGTTGTTTAGTTGTAAACGATATGACCAGGGCCGTCCTTAGGGGGAACGCGATCGCGAACGGACCGAGGGTGGCCCCGCTCCCTACCTCGCCCCGTGTCAGCTAAGAACGGCCCTGGATAAGACCAAATATAATTTTACATTATGAGTACTTTTATTTCACGATAATAACAATAAAGTTATTTTTCTCACTATAGTTAATTTTGTTTTAATAATTATATTACCTGGAAGTTAGTTCTGCAGAACTGCATGCTGCCATATGGTGACCTTTGGTTGCGTGCCGCCATGAAGAATATAACCTCTACCAGAGCAGAGCACTAGTATCATCAATTATTAAAAGAGACACCATTATCGTTTTCAAGGTATTCATACTAACTATTTATGTTAGTCAAAGTAATACTGTTAACTTTTTAACACAATTTTAAACGTTCAATTTCCACCATCATGACGCAGGGACTACACGTGTCTTAACTATACCACGTGGGTGAAACTCCCAATATGAATAATAAAAATTAATTAAATATATAATGATCAACTAAACAATTACACTTGCAATAGTTACATTTGCAGAAAGGACATACTTTTTGCTCAAAATGAGCTTAAAATTTGTTGTAATAATTTATTATTATTATTATTATTATCAAGAAATGTTTCCATCTTAAAAATCTGGTCACCTTTCCATTCGTGACAGCAGTTTCAGGCCAGATTCTCAGATGGGAAGTTTGAATCCTGCAGAACCACAGACAGCAGTTTCAGAAAATAGGCAGGTCTGTGTTTTTTTATGTGTGTAATGCAAAATAAAATTTTTGAATTTGAATTTTTGAGTTGATTTAGTCAGATGTTATTTGATAAGGTCTGCTGGTCTGTGCAGGACCTGTTGTGTTTGACATTGTAATGTAAGATGTTCTGAAAAACAATGATTATGTAAAAAAATTATTGTCCTTTAAATAACTCTGTATCAAACTCTGCAATCCATTGTCATTAACTGTTTAGAATTCTGAACATGTATTTCACTCCACAAGGATGCAAACACAGTGACACCATTTTTCCATACAAAACATACTAATTTCCTGCAGAAGACACTAAAATGTTCATATTTGGGGATTTCCCTAACAGTTTGGGAAACTGTTCTGAACTGCTGTGATGTTAATCAGCTGTATATTGTCTGTTAGCCTGGCCTGCGCTGCTGCTCTGGGATGTAATATTACACTGGACTGTGCTGCTGTTCTCTGCTGTTTTATCACTGGGAAATAGAGTCAGGCTCAGATTAATCTGATTACATTTCCCTTTATTTTATCACAACTGCCTAGCCAGCTAGCTGTGTTCTGTGGCAATTGACCAAGGTGTCGGTTAGCGACTAAATGATAGCTAAAACAGATTAATCCAAAGTAACTGTCAAAACAGCTTTGTTTGAAATGTTTCATAATAAATGATGCATACTGCCTGAAAATAAAAATCACACAATGCCTAAGGTAATTAATTAGGAGATTCCTGTTCTCCTAAAAAAAAAAACGGATATTCTTTGAGTCCAGGGTTATCTTTTTACCCAAGTGCAAAATATTCTGCAGCCCACATACTATATTAATATAATATGACAATATAACAATTTATAAAAAAAACAAGTATGCTATTTTATTTTGACTAATATATCTTATTTGCAGTAGAAGAAAAAACACTAATCAAAAGCATCTTGCAGTACTTCCCTGGTCCTTAAGGGGGCTGCAGCCCACAGGTTGACAACCAATGTAATTGCATATTTTGCCGTATTTTTTTTTTTTTCAGTCCTAGACCAGGTGTCCTGACATTTTATCCTACCCCTCAGATTGTCATACCAGGGTTTACTGCACATGCGCACATCAATATTGCGTTCTTTGTCTCACGCGGAACAACAATAATTACTGTATTTGCATTACTGTAAGGGGTAGGTTTAGGGTAGGGTAGATGTTAATAAACCATAATTTGACATGTAGCATTTTCGTTGTCGAATTGTACTACCTACTGTGTTAATGGGAGGTAGCTAAATCTGACAGGGCTGCACAAATCGACAGAACACTGGCTAATGCAGGTTAGCTAATTAAAAGCAGACATTATGATTTTGTTTAATATGGCTTAGACCTCTTTATTCCACTGTGGTCTTCCATTTGTTAAACACCTGAAAAAGCATTATTGACCATTACAAAGGTGAACGTCACAGCAAAATGGCACTGTTTGGTAATATTTCTGGGCAATGAAACCAAGATAGAAACCAAGCTATTACAAGGCTTACATGATGAAACAAAGCAAAACATTCATAACAGAGATATCAAATGTAAATAACAACAACAACAAAAAGCGAACTGTGGACTGCTGCAAAATATGTCTAGTTTCATTTCTGGTAAACTTCACATCATGTAATCCTCTACGCGCCAACAAATTGCATTCATGATGAAATTTACATGTTACACGTAATACAATCTGACATAGACAAGAAGAGTAATCAAAAATATATAAGTGAATAAAAATATAAATAAATGGATAAAAAAAAAGTTCAGATTTCTCCCAACCATGCACATTAAATACAGAGGTGCAGCAGTGCAAATCTCCGCTGTGTTGTCTAGCAGAGACGTCACCGGCCCGGGTCAAAACAGATTTGAGGTCTTCTCAAATCCATCCACACAATCCCATGCGTGCAGCTCTCAGAAAAAGGCTGGATTGGTGTGTTCAATGACGCAGCGTTTACAATGACGCTTAACAAAGCGCAGCGCCTCCAGTGGCACGTCACAGTCCTGTACATTCAGCAGCTGAAGGTCGAAGCAGTTGGCTGCCACCACCTGCAGCCCGCGGCCCGTGATGCTCTCGCACGACTTCAGACTCAGTCTCTTCAGGTTGAACGAGTTTAGTGCAAGTTGCTCCAGGCCGGCGTCCGACACCAGTGGGCACTTCCCGATGTCCAGGGACTTGAGCTTGAGGCAGTTCTTGGCAAGGTGCTCGATGCCGTGGTCTGTCAGCCCCTCGCAGCCACGAGCGTTCAGGTACCGCAGTCTTTTGCAGTATTTGGCTATGTAGCGCACGCCCACGTCTGTGATGCGGCTGCAGTGCGCTATGCTGAGGTAGCGCAGGCGGCCCTCTAGTTTGGCGATCTCCCGCAGGCCAAAGTCACTGATGAAGCGGCAGTCGCTGACGCTGAGCTCCCGCACGGACGGGCAGTAGATGACTAAGAAGCGCAGGCCCTCATCGGTCAGGCGCATACAGCGCCGCAGGTAGAGGTGGGTGAGCTGAGTGCAGTGGGCGGCAATGGTGTGCAGGCCTTCGTCTTCCAGAGCAAAACAGTCAGTCATGTCAAGATAGCGGATGGAGATCTGCTGCCCATGAAGAGGGGAGAGTTTGAAGGACACGTCCCGTGTCAGGCTGATGCAGGTCACCTTAGAGCACCCTACAGAGTACAAAGACAGAATTATAGAAAAATACATTTAAACTGCACACACAATATGTACAATTCAGAACCTGATTTGAAAATTTTCCAAAACTTTGTTTTGTTGTTTAAAGATAAAGTGTGTAGTTTCTGTGCTTCTAGCATCAACAAATTAAATAGCACAAATAATGATAAATATCAATTGTATTTTTATACAGTTAATATATAGTTACTATATATTATATTATTTATGTAATTATATTTATAAATATAAATAAAAGATTATATAATATTATGATAATATATTTTTATATTATAAAATTGTAATTTACTTCAGTTAGGTCTGTCTACAATGTTTAATGGATTACTCTTAAGTAATTATATTATAATAAATGTTAATATAGATTTAAAACATTTATTGTTTTGAAGGAGTGGAATCCTGGAGACATCGTGACCTTCATAATATATATATTTGTTTCTTCTTGAATAATTATTAATCAAAGTTACATTTATGCATGTTAGAAAATAAGTTGAATATGGCTTTAGTCTGCCTTTTTACTTTCTAAGAAGCTGCTCTCATTGTGTGTGTGTAGTGAACCATATTGGATCAGATTCAGGGCAGAGCCCAGCAACCTTGAAGTACACATAAGTGTTCTCTGCGTATGTGTGTGTGAGTTTGTCTTTGCAGCTAGATGCGGAGACAGCCCTAGGAGGAAACCGTCATTTGCCATCACCCTGATGTCCAGGGTATCAGATACACGTCTCTGGAGAGACCTATTGCGTCTGACCTCAGATCTCTGTCTTTATCTATAGGTTCATCAGAATCTTGCTTACCTATGCATTGATGCAGTTAGCAACCTCTGTTAGAGTATAATTATTGGTGTTGTTAAGATGTACGCAGAGCGGCCTACGAACTCCATTGCGAGTATTGAAGCTGACTTCTGCCTGAAACGGCAAGTTATTTTCTTCAGTAAATTTTTCTTCAATTGATTGCATCTCTGACTCCTGGTCTTCATTCAACACACCTGCTCCTTGGGTTTTAACTGTAAATTCCCCTACAATTTAAATGAATATACTGTAAATATAATATACAACAAATATAAGCTTTAGAATTAACATATTAATATACATGCTTTTAAAAAAAAATACTTTAGTTTATATCTCCTTGCATACTTTCACATCCAGGCACTCACATAGATTTCAATATAATCAAAAACATTTTTTATATCAATTATATTAAAATATTAAAAAATATATTTAAAATATCTAAAAAGATGTAGCCCCTCTAATAATGTTTTTTTTTTTTTTTTAATATCTAAATCTACTTGGATACGGAAGTATGCTCTCATAAGGACATAATATGAGATATTTTTTAGCCTTTTTGGAGCACCCTTAGTTTTTTCTTATTTCTTCTTCTTTGTGAACCAGATGCACTCTTGGATAATACCTTTTTCTTCAAAAGTCTTTTTTTTTTTTACTTACTGTATAATTGTCTCTGCATATTAAGTTGACACAGGAGAAAGTATTTTAACAAGAATGACACATTTCAGCTTTAAACTAAGTCTTTGAAGATAAATTATAGGGACTGTTTTGACCATTATGAAAAAGAAAAGTCCCAAAACATTTCTTCAGAACCATGTGTATGATCATTTTTATTCCCAAAAGACTAAAGACTTTTTCATGCTGTCAGATGCACATGAAAAGAAATACCAAATGTTTGCTTTTAGATCTGTTTTTACAGAAATCACAGAATAAAGTCTTGATGTGAAACACGCCATCTGAGAAATGTATCTGCTCTTCACCTCTGTCATCTGATTTAACTTATGAAACACCAACATCAGACAAACAAAAGCCTTTACAGTAGAACTAAAGCTGAAGGTTATTGCAGAATATCTGAAGAACATGAAAACGGCAGCGAAGGGTTTGATCTAAACCTTGGAGAGACATCTGAAATGAGTTATATCAGGAGGGGTGGGGGATGGGATCTCCCCGCGTCTCCTTTAGGAGAATGCAGCGCTCCAGTCCAACGGCAGAGGGACCCCAGCCGGACCCCTGCACTCACACAGGAAAAACAACATGCTCCAACAGGAAGTGCAGCGCAGGAAGTTGGAAATAAAACACCAGGGAAGGGACTTGAGGACATGAGGAGAAGGAGTATTATTTTCTGACATACTCATTCACTAAGTCCTAAATTGTAAACTTCTAGGCCTATATGGTCATCTGTGAATTTGTGAAATATAATGCTTCTAAGAAAATTGAAAAGAAAAACGGATAAAAGGTTGCCAGGAAAAGTCATTAAAAACATGAACAGAGAAAGCTATATAAATATACTATACTATAATATATACTGGACAAGTGGACAAATATTAATATAAAAGCTATTTAGAGTTATATGCACATTAAATAGTCTACCTTTAAAGCAATTAATTTGATACAAAAGACAGTTGGTCATTGATTCTCTAAATTAGGGTAGCAGATTTTCCCTAAGCACCTTAAAGTCAGAGGTCCTGGTTCTGCTTGGGCTTATGTTTCTTTTGGGAAGTATAGAGAGCGCAGACAGAATGCCAGAGCTATTAATACCTTTTCCAGTTTTTCCAAGAGGAAGTCCTGGATATTTCAGAATAATCTCTGTGAGAGAGAAAAAAAAAAGACTTGACTGTCTTCTGTGCTGGACAACAAAGCAGGTGAAGCACAGGCTGTTTGGCTCTGAGTCAGGAAGTCATTTATACAGCTGACTAAAAATCCTTCTGTGTTTTCGGAGAGTTTGTAGACCAACACAGCTACATTACTGACATGTTTTGTTGAGAATGTCAAATTGAATATAACTGTGTTAGTACAGACTCAAATACTTCATTATTTCTGCTTTTTATGCCAAATGTTAAACCGGTGGTTCACAGGTCTGTTCTGGTAGTGAACCGCTGGGGAAAATACAAATTGAGATGAATGAAAATTATAAAATTCATCTATAGTTTCTCATCCTTGAAAACATGAACAAAACTACACTGAAAAAAAAAGAGTTTTCAAAGTTGTAAATGAAAGATTACTGGAGTACAATTAAAAATATATAATTTCTACTTAAAAAAATCCATGTCTAATTCAATGTGGTGCTGCTCTTTGTTATTAATTGTGAAATATACTAGCAATTTCTGAGTGAATTGTTTTTAGTGGTCACAAGGTAAAAGAAACAACCCAGTCTAGATTAAATCCGGGTTCACTTGCAATGAAGATAAACAGAGTCTGTGCCAACCACAATTTGATATGTGCAGTGAATTATTGGCTGCCAAGACCATAAGACCACTGAAATTCAAGAGACTTTCAGAAACCAAAATTTGTCAATTTGTAAATGGTTCAATAAATGGTTAGTTAAAAATGTATTATCAGTGTTGGGAAGGTTACTTTGAAAATGTAGGTTACAGATTACAAGTTGCCCTATTTAAAATGTAATAAGTAGTGTAACTGATTTGATTACTTTTCAAAATTCTAATTTCTACATTTTTTTCTACAATTTTCTAAACTGTTAACCATTCTCAAACATTTAAAGCAGGGAGGGTTAACCTTACAGTAGTACTCAACACTGATTACTGTCAGACTTTCATAATCCTTCATCACTTGAATTAAGATTATAATTTAATTTTAAAGCACAGCCACCACAAAATCAGACTTTAGCACCTCTTTTTACTTTGAGGTCGTTCTGAGGTAAAATACAGATTTAAAATCATAACAAACTATAGTTTATAAGCTATGATACTGTTTTTGAAATCAAATCTTTGCACAGCTACGACAGGAATCACTGGCATCTAACAATGCCTTGGGGGAAAAAAACAGTTAATTTAAAAAATAATGCATATACACAGGCCCAAATAGGAAATAAAACAGTTATCAAATAAGCATGTGTCCTATTCTGTGTCCTAAACTCCTGAAACATTGGTGTCTATTATTTTAGAGCAGTCAATGCAATTTTGGTAAGAAATCAATCAAATCTGTATGTGTCTGAAAATACTCAGATGTAACCCCCTTTATAATCATTAACATTTTCATAAGTAACTGCAATTTAATTACACATTTTTCTCAGTAACTGTAACAGATTACAGGAACATTTATTTTGTAATTAAATTACGTAATTCCTTTACATGTAACAAGTTACTCCCCAAGACCGTATATTATCAACACAGATTATTTCCAATAATTAAGTTCATCACTATTATCATGACTTTTACACTGTGTCCTAACCAAGCCAAATGTAACGACCACAATGTCTTTCATGTGAATCTAACTATTTTGATGGTTGTTTCCTTTCTGTTTTGTAGCTGGATAACCCCTCCCATTGAGAAATCTCATCGGTCCAAAATCCTACTACAACTGTAAATTAATCATTAAATACCTTTTGATTGGCTGAAACTGAGGTATTGTGTTCAATGTGGGCAGCGACTGTTTAGAACAGATAAATACTAATAACACAACCAAACATTATCACCCAAGATGAATTACCTGAAACATCCAGGTGTTCCAGGTTGGGGCAGCGTGACACCACCTCAAACACGGCCTCATTGGACACGTTGTAACAGCCAGCCACCTCTAAGCGACGCAGTTCTGGGCTGCACTGTGCCACCGTGTACAGTCCTCGATCGGTCAACCTCCGACAGCCGCTGACCACCACCGTCTCCAGGGTGAGACACACATTGGGGGTGTCCTGGCACAGTCTGCGAGTGAGAACCCGAAGCGCACGGTCCACATGTAGCACGTCTCCCGTCAGACGAATAGTCCTCCATAAGTGCGGGTCCCAGGCCAAGTTGTACCAGCGGCGGCAAACACGGGCGCACCGACACAGCTGGTTGGTGGGCAAATGGGTGAAGATCTGCAGGAAAGCATGGTCAGGAAGGAAGTCGATGGGCGCCGCCTGCTGGTCCCTCGGCTGTCGCAGACTCCTTTGCGGATGGGTGAGGGAAGTGGGCGGCGTGTGGACCATGGCAATGGTTTCCGTGCCGAACGTGGAGGAAGACGTGGAGGAGCCATTAAGCACGCCTGGAGATGAACGAGGTGGCAAAATCAGAGCCGGACTTGGCGTACTCACTGTTCGCATGCTAAGGTCCGAGTCTGGGAAGAGGGGAAATAGAAAAACAGACAGGAAAGGAATAGAGAGAAAGACAATAACACACTATGATATTGCACTCAAACCATTCTGAGAACAGCATTATGTAACACAGACAAGTTGTTGAAATAATGTAAACAAATCGCAGTCTTTCCTTTCCAAATAATTTCCTCAGTTAATGCATTGTCTTTCTGCACAAGCGATGCCCTTGGCTCCATTCCACAATGATGACTGAGGTAGAAAGTGTTTCATAGCTTTAAGAAAAATTATTCTGGCAGGCTTGTTGAGATCTAGCGTGTACACACGGCCTGCAAAAACCATATTCACATACTAATCTCCCGTGAATTTCCTCCTGGTCCGATCCATGCCTAATATCACTGAACCCCCACATATAATGTATCAGGCCTCATTTAGTCCTTCCTGAACCATCAGGGCAGTAATGACTGGATGAGGATCAAGGGTTACCCAGTTTTTATTATTCCATTTGATTAAACTGCAAGCTGCTTAACCGCAATATGTATTGTTCAGCAGAACTCAAGCCATAAGTCTGTTATTTCCACTCATTTATGGGCATTATGACCCCATTGTTCCCTTTGACAGATGTTTTAGTCTCCTACAGTTTCACAGTGTGCTGTGTTGAGTAATGGGAAACAGCAGCGCGTGATCATATCCCATATATGAGGGATATGCTTCCATAGATGAGAATATGAGAGCCAACAAGCTGGCACACTGATGGATCAGTCTTCAAGCACTGCCTCTGTGAAGATCACATCTCCATAACATCACGAGGTGTTCAAGCCCATTGATCAACAAAGAAAAAGGGAAATTTCAATTCTGATTAAATATTAGGAAAAAAGTGTGAATCCATAGCCAATTTATATTCTATTCTATTCTAGAAAACATCATTTCAATAATAAGTCAATTGAAATCAATTCTTGCCAAAGCTGTGTTACACAGACTTTTCAGTCTTTTTTCAGTCACAGCCTGAATTTCTAAAATACTTGGCCTTTACTATACTATATTACACATATTTCATTCATTTTCAAAATACGACTGGAAAAATGCATAATGTTTATCTTTAGGTAGCTATATGTAATATGAACAACCCATCTAACAAAAATATGTTCCAAGAATGTTTCACTAACGTTCACATTAAGTTATGAATAAGCATATTTCTGAATGTTTCTGAATATTTCAATTTCTTTCAAAAAGTGTGTTTTTTGTTTTGTTTTTATGTGAATGTTAAGAGAATATTCCATTTTATAATTTTGTAAAGTTTATGGGAATGTCACTTTTTAATGTTCTCTAAATATTCTGAAACAAGTAGTAACGTTTAAAAATGTTAGGTGAATGTAACCCTAACTAAAACATTTCAGAAAAAAAAAAAAACATTCCATCCCAAAACATTCCATGAACCATGTATAAATAATGTTTTTGTTCTAATGTTTTAAGAACATTATTAAAGATCGTTTTAAATGAATGTTCTATTTAAATTACTGGAATAATGTTTGTACATAATTTTGAGAGAACCTTGCCAGAATGTTCTCATAATGTTCCCTGTTAGCTGGGAACCAGCTAATCTCACGGTCAGTTCTAAGATGTGTGTGATTGATTCATTACAAAACTCATTACAATCATTCGTTCAGGGTCAGGACTATAATTGTGCTGCATGTTTCTCATTTCTTAAAAAGAACCGCTCTTTAAAGTAATATGTTCTGGAATCGCACTATACTGACAGTGTTGAATGTTTGTAATTCGTTCAAAAGAACCGGTTCATAAATGTCATTCATTCGGGAATCAGACTACACCGGTCACGCTCTTTATTTTACACTCTACATTAAGTAGCGGTGTTTTAGTATTTCAGTACATATCAGTATTATCTCTCATTATTTCATTTTGGTATTAAAAAAAAAAAAAGAGATTTTCTTTAGGACCGGTTATGCTCTATCTTTAATAAAAAAGTAAATACAAAATCCTCTAAGAAAAAAAGCAGTAAGGACAAAACCCCCATACAACTCAAAGTGCCAGAAGGGAATATAGAGAGTGAGACATTTAGCTTGGATTGAAGGGCTACAGCCACCACATTCACAAACTTAGTACTCTGAGCAGCCAAAGTTCCTTAATGTTATGGGGAGCCACTACAGTTGGCAGAAGAAGCAGAAGTCAATTACGTTTTAATGTCACCACTAGAGACGAAGAATTGGAAATGGCCTTGCAGGCTGGCACTGAGCCCTGACTCACACGCTAGATTACTGCCCTCACTACCAGCTGAATTACACTGCCATGAGGAGACGCTATTCCCTTGCATAGCTAATACAAAACATCAGCCTCTAATTGAACAAAATGTAAGAGGAGTTGTACTGGTCATTTTCAAAGCAGTAATTGCAACCCTGCTGGAAAATCCAGCTTAAACCAGTAGCTGATTTGACATGGTTTAATTTATGGTCATTAGCTGGTCCAAGCTGGTTGATCAGCTAAAGTATTAGCTTACCGAACTGTTTTTTTCTCCTGGACTATACTGCTGTCTTATCAGTTGAAGACTACAAGTGAACTTGTAGTTGCTTGACATAAATGTGTGAAATTAATAATAGAGTGCATGTCTGAAAATTGTTCGTGGGTTTTAACCGCCAAGGCACGTCTTGCTCAATTCATCTTGCTAAATGGTAGAAGTGTAAAGTTGCTTATTGTCAGAACTCAACAGGAGGCTTAAAGAAAATTTCCTGAGTTAACAGTTTATACACTCAAATACATAATTTTTTTTTCTTCGACAGATTTAATAAACAGTAAAGCAGCAACTGCAATCAGGATGCCAGTGTCTGTTTCACACATTCATAATAATGCATTACTCAAGCACACAATGGGATTTCAGCAGCTTAAAGCTCTGTGGACTGAGGGCTGGAGAGCAGTCGCGCTGATACTAAAGTGTGTCAGGCTGCTAAGAACAGGATTAAAAATCTACTAATCCTCCATTAGTTTTAAATCAATGGTTCATCTGTGAAACCTCGACACCAATCCAATGACCAAAAACATATGGAGAAACCCGCTTCTGGTGCTTCATTTTCAGACAGCTTCTTACGATCCTTCTTGAATATATATATATTGTTTGGTCTTAAAGAATCCACGAGTTTCTAGAACTCTCCCTTTTAGCCTCCAAGTTTTATTTGCTCCAGTTATTTTCTTCTAAATCCCCCAAAACTTCTGGTTTAAAGTGCCAAATTTAACCCAAAACCACATATAATGCCACAGGAGCCATAATTACCTCAAGCCACGAAGTGTATCTCATTATTGCATTTATTTTAAGACTGTTCCATGCCTGTTCTGGTTGCAATCTAATGAAAATGAGGTGAAAACATGAAACTTGAAGCTAAACTAAAACGTCATTAATGTCAATATACAACTTAAATGGTTTTTCCTACAAATCATTGGAAGTTGAACCTTGAAAAATGTGAAATGCCTCTGTGCCGTTTGTTTGAATTGTTCAGGGGTTGCCTCTTTCCTCTTTTTAGCAGAGAGGTGAAGTCCATGATTAGTGCATAATAGACTGTGGATTGGTATTCAAGGCAGGTGTAATGAGGGTCTCAGACATAAAACTACTCCAGAGACAAGATGCCAACTAGCCTTTTAATCCACTGACAAATGCCTGGTCTGACAAAAGTAAAAAAAAAAAAAATACAGGCAAAAACAAAGCCTCCAATGTTTCAAAGTAAAAAAAACCCTGTTTAAATAGGCCTGTTTTAAATCAGGTTTGCAACCCAAGTAATGCAGTTTACCTTCCCAGCATTTCTTTCAAATCTTGAATCAAAAATACCAGGGAGCTGGAAGAACACTGTGTGTACACCAGATGTGACAGTTGTCACCTCGCATTGTGCCGCAACAGCTAAATTCTGTTTACACTGGACGCGACAAGCGACCATTGGAAATCATTTGAACTTTGTGTCAGTACATCATAAATAGAATGAGGTATCCGTTTACTGTTGTGGATTTGTCGTGTCATGCCGCAACACATCCAGTGTAAACAGCATCACTGATTTTAATGGGATCTATTGTATTTTGTCACGTTGCGCCGCACTCGCGTCCGGTGTAGACACGGTATAAGTGTTGAGCCTTTACTTATTCAATTCAATTCAATTCAATTCGTGTACATTTGTATAGCGCCTTTTACAATACAAATCGTTGCAAAGCAGTTGTACAATATATGTTTCTACAATATATTTAGTAGTAGCTTATCAGTGGTGACTATGTCAGTAAATGTACATATGGCAGAAATGTACGGAAAAATCAATTAAAGACGTAATCAAACAGACTATGAACACAATTAACAGCAATTATTATTTATGAAATGGTACATAAAATTGCTTAGTCTGATGATTTTGATATTTAATTTCAATTATTAAATATATATACCAGTCACAAGATGTTTAAAGAGATAGTTCACTCAAAAATGAAACATTTGTCATTTATTCACCCTTGTGTCGTTCTAAACTCTTCTCATCCATACAATGAAAGTGAGTGGGGTCTACACTGGACCACATTGACACTGTCACTGAATGTCCAAACCCCCCCATCTCTATCTCTATTACGGGCCCTAATAAAGAATCTGAATCATCAGGAATTCAAGTTTGAGCTGCAACATTCAAATAGCACAAGCAATTTCCAAACATTAACCAAACACAGCATTTTTGTGACCCATTCAACAAAACTCTTCCAAAGCTCTACCACAAAGCATGCAATTGATTTCCCCAAAAGATTGAGAGCAAATGTCCGATATCAGGTTGAGCTGTCTAGTCTTCTCATCGCCTGGCATTAAGATAGGTGTAGGTAAAGACCTTTAAACACACAGACCAAAAAATGACAGACGAGAATGTGAGGAATGCCATTTTACCCTGTAGCTCACTTAAGCAAAGCCTGCTGGGAACTCTCAGACTCGTCACTCCTCCAGCCGTTCAGCATCCCGTCACTCACTGACCTCTGAACAATGTCAAGCGGGAATGTTTTCCTGCACACC